GTAGATTTTCGGGTGCCCGCACCGCAGGGCGTGGTTTCCGTGGGTGTCCCATTGCTCTCGGCTGTGGGAGTGGTTACTGTCTACGGAAGGAGTGCTCCTCCATCACGCCCCGGGCAATTAGTCGCGCAGAACCGGTCACTACCCATTGGATCTCGCAAGGGAAAAGGAAGTTGGAGCTACGAGACGTTGGTACAGTACACACGATTAATGTTGACCAAGTATTTCGTTAGTTTTCCGACGTCAAGTTTGGCGTGCTGGGGGACATCTATCAGTAATGATTAATGAGTACTAGCTTCAGCGTTCAAACGCACATGACGATCACGAAGTAGCGATATTATTTCATCGCCGACAAAGCCGCCACAACGTGTAGATCGCCCTGGGGTACGGTATGGAATTTCGAGGCAACAACCACAAGCTTCCAACACTTATAAGAAAGCTCTCGCAGGACTTGAAGCTCGCACTGAATAAAAACAGAGAGGTGCATAAAATTACAAAGAGAAATTAGGACACATCTTCCTTCTTCCGACATTAAAATTAACGTTTCCGAATTGACCGAAATTTTCGCCTTGTGATGAGCCTTCTGCGCCAGCGGCGCCGATGATTATCAGATATACTACTTGATGAAGGAGAGGACAGTGGGTGCTAATAAACGGAATACAGTACGAGGCATAGAGATTCTGTTACAGAAAGCATTACTAGTTCGTTGCCAGTGCCGTGAAGGACGTGAGGGATCGTAAAGCAAGTGGTCAAATGTAAGTAACGAGCTGCTGCTAATTCATCGCGCACCTAACTCGACTTCAGATGGTTGGTGTACCCAATGTAGGCAGCATGTGCGTCATTGAAGAGGGTCTTCAAGAGAGTGCTCTCCTGTTCGTCAAAGCTTTCATCGTGCCAATCGGCCAATTCAAAATTCATTTCATATCCCTGCTCTATTCTTGACAAAATGGTCGTCTTCCACCTCTTCCACACTTTGGTATCATTAGGGAGAATATCATCCAGTACCTTGTCTGGATGCAATGGTTTCAGCGCCAGCAGAACGAAGACTGCCATGGTGGTGCGCGTGCCCAACAAGAATTTTCTCAATGAGGGCCGCTTGAGGACCACATCCAGCAGTAGCTTTCGTTGAATCTCTTCCTTATCCAGCGATGACAACCAGGAGTTGTACGCCCAAGAGACGGCGAGCGATGTTACGAACATGATCTGTCCGAAGATCGTGCCCTGTGGTATAAGCAGCAGTTGTGCGATAAATTGTGTCGTGAGGAGCAACGAACATATCCCAATATTTCTGTACTCTGGCTCACTGCCGAAGTGAAGAGAGAAATTTCCGCGGGTGATAGAATTGACAAGCGCCTTCCTCGCCTCGCAGAATGATGATATTATTGTCGGTGAGGAGAAATCCATCACCTGGCGGCGCTCCTGGAGCTGGGTCAGGATGATAGAATGTGAATTTTCCGGAGCCAATGACCAAACATGATATCCCGCTTGTGATGATTCCGAGCAGGATCATGCTGAAAGAGTACCAGTCTTGGAAGACAGCGCACACGACGCAGGTGCTGATGGACACCAAGATGGGAATGAGAGCGAACACGCTGGTGTATTTCCTGAGCTGCTTTGGTTCCACGGTTGCTTCAGGAACGTGGTGGAGGTCGATAATTGTAACCCCAACAGGCTGCGTTTTTCTCCCATCCACTTCAATGCCCTTCCTTGACTGGCATTCCTTTGCCATCAAAGCAGCAACGTGGCCAGTTTCTGACATCATCGACCCAGACTGGACACCCTGGAATGCTGGGCCCTTCCACCCATCTAGTTCGAAGAGGGTAGCGGGGTCAGTGTTGACACCTGGGAACAGACCATCCCAGAAACGTGAGTTGGCGAGTTGGCCATATCTCTTGGCGACTAGGTACGATCCTGGCGAGTTGTACCACCCCAGCCATTTTCTTCCTTCATACATGTGTACAGTTGCCATTGCGGAAACAGCTTCATCGCCACCGAAAAAACCTGCCACTCCGGAGGTATTGAGAGTAAACTTGGAATGTGCGAGAGGTATTTGGGGCATTGTTGGCTGGACCAGACTTCTGGGAATCGATGGAGTCTATGTGGCGGTATATGAAGTGAGTTCAACTGTGCTCCACAGTTACAATCGAGCAGGTGTAGGAACACACACAGGACACGCGGATTCGGGGGTCAGAAACAACGTTTGTGAGGTACTGGGCGCTTGGAGTTGCATCGATGAAATGTCGGGTGCTATCATTACGACAGCATGGAAGATGTTCCATCTATGGAACATAACTTTATATGTAAGATCGACAATGGACTTTAATATTGACTTTACCCATTGCCCAGGCAGTGCGGGTCGACGCATGAGACTACGTGCAATATGAGATCGATGTAGTGATCATTTCCCATAAATGTAGTAACGTGACAGTGCTTGTGACTAGTATTTGTCTCAGTCTCAGACTGGTGAGCCACTCTTTCCACGAGATGGACGACAATATTAATATTAATGTAATCAATCTCTTACAACTCACAGACATCGATGCGCTGGTTCGAAGAAGTAGCTCAAGCTCGGATTCCCTACGAGAACATAATCCAGGAGCAAGCAGACATCCTAAACACAAATCATGTGGCCTTTAAAGTGGCACAGACATATCTCAATGAGTCGCCGGCCATTGACAAAGAGGGCCAGCCATGGGAACCTACTCCAGAGAATTTAGATTCATACATGGCATTTTGTGACGACATGTACGATATGATCCCAAAGGACTTTGACGAGTGAGTTTGCTTGTTAGGTAGATGATGCACAGTTTGATATCGGTGCCCTGCAGTCGAGTGAAAATTATGCAGCGTTGATGTGTGTCCTTACCTTCAAGATCGTGCCGCAACCGTCATCTGTTGTGATGGATTTCGTCAAGAGGCACTGCCAGCTCTTGTGAGTGATTTCTCCATTGTGACAGCATTCAATCTCACCCCATTTTAGCCGTCTTAAATATCCACTCCCCAGTAACACATCCATTGAAAACGATAGATCCCAGTGTAAGCGGCATCTTCCGAAACTGTTGAAGGCGGGGACGACGTGTAAGTATGAAGATGAAGATGTGCCGCAATCATTCAAAGACCCAGAAGAACTTTATGGTAAGAGGTTCCATCTATCGCCCCAAACAGAGGACTCGGCCACGTACGAGGTGATAGGGTATTCCAAGTTCCGGAATAGTGCGTCGACGTACGATTTGCGGTTTGATGATTGTGACCACCGTGATCCAGTCCGGGTAGGAGACTGGGAGATGGAAATTCTCTTCACGAGCTCCCTCCCCCTGGGCCCTGCAATATTCTACCCATTATTGTAACTTGACTATCTGTAGAAATAATCATCGTTGCAACGTCTAGAATTGTTTGAACCCACTCAAACAATCAGTTCCGATCGAGTCGGTCGGACAGTGTAACTCCTGCACAAATCCTGCATGTGACGACGCGTGGCAAAGGAGCTAGCAGTAAAACTTCAAAAAAAAAAGTACTACGCCTCCGCTGTTTAACGCTAACTTGGAGACTGCAGGACATGGTCTTGGTATTCAGTACGAGCGCCGTGAGAGCAAGTTGGTTCGCAACTCCTTCTCGGCATCATTGAACACAAGTAGGCGGTCATCGCAAACCTCGAGATGACATTGATCACAAGGTCGGTGTATTGCTTGTCACATGTTCCAATACTTTCTCTCCAGACAGCCCACACTTGTATGTTGATGGACTGCCAAAGGATATCGTGGTCTGAAACCACCCTAATCCCGTTCTCCAGACTCACCACTCAGGCGGACCGCTCGTACGGCTTCATACTATGATCCTTTGACAGATCCAGCACATGAACAGTTCATCCTGCCTGTGTGTATCTCAGCCCATGGACGACAAAAGGTCGTACCTCATGAAGCCGCGAAGTAAGTCATTGAAGTCAGAAACGTGATCTGCCCGAACAGCATCATCAGAGCATCAGAGCAGTAAGGAACGGGTGCGAATTTTGTTGATCTCTCGGCGGCTTGATTTGCATACGACCCAAGCTTATGGTACAACTAGAACTTGACCTGTGTGATAGCAGCGTTATTTTCCAGAGTGTAAAGACGAGAATGAGACTCGCTTACTTATTCTCCCTTGATTTTCCAGCATATTCGACAGATGAGTCCATAGACAAAATTCCACCAGAAGTCGCGGAGTGCGATAGCCATACTTACGTGCCGGGCATCTGGTGAATCGGGGGGAAGAGAGTTTGCCTGCAAGTCCTGATGTCGGGATATTTGTGATCCAGGACATTTCTGGTGGGACTCCAGTCGGAGGCCTCAACTGAAGATGATGCAAAAGGGGGTCATTTTACATTGCGTGAAACAGCAATACTGTGACATAGTAGAAGGTATATCCCTCTGAGACTGTGAGAATGTAATCGTCAGGATACTGGGGTAATTTGTAGCAGGAGCACAGTGACATGGAGGGGGAATGAAACATGCATGGAAAAGTGATTGGCAGTGCGAGGATAGCAAATATCAGTATGTTCTACCCTCCGAAGCTGCAATCCTCGCGCGAAGTTGCTGAATTTCAGCCTGCATCTGCCGCAGCTGGTCGGTTTCACGTTGTCGCTCCGCACGCATCCGGTCGATTTCACTTTGGCGACCTTGCGCGAGCCCCTGCTGAAACCCTTGCGCGAACCCCTGCTGCAACCCTTCAGCGAGCCCTCGCTGCATCCCTATAAACTGCAAGGACGATGACCATGAATAAAATAAGACCATCATGATATCTGCTGAGAATAGCCTACCTGCGCTTGTTCAACTTCGTCGCGGTGGAGCATTTCCAACGTCCTCTTCTGTTAACAGCTAGAAAGAAGACGCTCGCTCAGTGTTGGGAGACACCAGCTGAGATATGAACACGCGGACGATGCGAATTCATATATAAAAGTTAAGAGAGTGGAAGAGTAGTTCCAGCACAGCCACTGAGGCATGCACTGTACCGGCCCGCCAGCCTTCTTGGTTCATGATCATGAACAAGTTACTTCCCCTTCTCTCACTTCGTCTACGCAATGTCTCGACGGTTGCCGGTCGCAGCTGTTTGAAAAGAAGTGTAACAACGTCATCCTCCCTCAATGCTGATGAATTGCGGGAGGTCGAGGATTTTGGGATATATAATGTCATCTTACCTGAGGAACCATTCGTGTGGGGCGTCTCCCACATCACCCGGCGTCCAGTTCCAAACCATATTCTTCGACCGAAATACGCGGCGCGGCATGACCGCTCAATGTCATCCGATACTGACCATGAAGAGCAGTACGATGGAGACGGAAGAATAAGACTGGGTAGCGTAGAAGAGAAGCGCGTGCGAGCGGCTGCGACGCTTGCTAGGAATGTGCGCCAGTATGCTGGATCGCTCGTGCAGGTGAGATTCATCAGTATTTAGTGATGCGTACACAAGATAATATATCGGTAGCCGGGTGTAACCACCAATTCGATAGACGCTGCAATACACAACTTTATAATTGCGCATGAAGCATATCCTTCACCACTACTATACAAGGGTTTTCCCCGTTCGTGTTGCACCAGCGTTAATAATGTTGTTTCGCATGGCATACCAGACGAGTGGGTGACTTTTGTCTGAGCTATCCTTTAGGACTGAAAATGATGACAGTCGACCTCTCCAGGACGGAGATATTATCAACATTGATGTTACAATCTACCTGAACGGCTATCACGGCGATACTTCTGCTATGTTCCTTGTCGGAGACGTTGTAAGAAAAAATCTATAATAACATTATGTTCTTTGTGGTTTACTTGACCGACAGGATGAACCCGGCCGAGACCTCGTGCGAATGACAAATACCGCCCTCCAAGCTGGTATCGACGCTTGCGGACCTGGTCAGACCGTTTAATGCCATTGGCAGGGCTATATACGAAACCATCCGAAATACCCGTCATTCTGTCTGTCCTGCCTTCGCCGGTCACGGCATAGGGACCGTTTTCCACCGGCCCCCTTGGATATACCACACTCGCGAGTCCACGTTTTTTTTACCGTGTTAAGGATGTCTTGTAACACTTTCTTCGCAGTAAATGAAGAACCTGGCGTAATGCTTCCTGGACACTGCTTTACCATTGAGGTAATCAGCTCAGCGTATTTTGTGACTGGCTGCTGACGTCTGTCTTCAGCCTTCTCTCGTTCAAGGTTCTGATCCTAGCGTCTGGATTTTCCCAGACGGTTGGACTGCATCGACGGAGGTATGCCTGGTCTGCTATAACCCCGAATATTTCCTTAACAGTTGCATTGAGCAGAATTGTGCACGGAGCGCTCAAGCAGAGCACATGATTCTCATCACCGATACTGGTATAGATATTTTGACGCAGTAATTGGTCTATTCACCACGAACGTGATACATATAATGTTACTTTTGATACATCGACATGGAACCTAACCTATCTACGATGGCGTGGTCATGACCCACTCGCTCATAAACCTAAGTAGTACCTGCGTAAGGTCCCCATTGACGTCCGTCTTCTCCGAAACATCAACACTCTTCTGGAGAACAGGCTTCGCTTCCTTCAACAGCTTCTCCAGATCCGTCGCCATCTCACCCGGCATTCCCCTTCGAATCCGGTCTGTGAGGGCCCTAGATGGTCTCTTCGAGCCTTCTCGCATGTCAATGGTCTGTGGAACGTGATCCTCCGAGTCCATTTCAGCAGCGTCAAAATCTGGCTTGGAAAGCCACATCGCAAGCTGAGTCGCCGCATACACCAGCAATGCTTCCAGCGTCTTCCGTGCAGTCAGCATGCCTTCTCGCACATCAAGTGGCGTTTCTTTTATGGAGGCAGGCGGGGCGATGGCCTGACCTGCTGGGCGGTTGACGAGGTTTCTTAGAGCATCGAGGGTGCAATTTGCGAGTTCAAGCAAGGTTCCCAAAGAGGCTGGCTCTCCGGGTACCACCTTGGAATGCTGCAGGAAGACGGTAAGCAAAGTTCTGCGTCAGTATGGAGAACTACGCACGGGAACGATCACTGCTTCTTGAACGGGCCACTCTTCTTGTTCGCCAAGAAGCACATCGTACGCTCGGCTGATGCTGATCAGCGTCGACACGACGGAGCTTGACAGCCTAAATAGTCGATGGACGAGACGCGCAGTCAACGGATGTTTCTGCAGGTCGGCCATGTTCAACGACAACAGAGAGGACGCGGCGGTTGGCTCCCTTTCCAGCAATGCACGCTCTTCCGCAGTCACCGGCTCCAAGAGACTGGCAATGTGATTGGGGTGCGTCAGCGCATAGTTGAGTTGCTGAAGAAGCATGAGCGCATGGGTCGTAAAGACACGCAGGACCTTCACTACGGCTGGGTTTGGGGAAGCAGTAGGAGGAGCACTCTCCGCAAGCGCGTAAAAGAGACTGACGACCTGTTCCATCTCCTCCAACAACGGCAATGTGATCGGATCACCGACACTCCAGCTCAGCGCCCGGACAATCTGCTTGCCATACAGCTGCACGAATCCGCAGGCCTCTGCGTCGAAGAAGTGGTGTTGCCGCCTGAGAGCAGAGACGACCGTAGAAACTATGGCCATCATCGAGCAGTATGCCTGGTGTGCTGGGCTCCTCTCTCCAGGAAGCTCAGGCAACACGACATCGATCTGCCCCGAGCTTGCCGCAAGGCTAATCCCGTTGTTACTATAGGCTGAGATGACGCCTTCACTAGCAAATCTTTCAGCGCCGGACGGGACGCTCACTACAGCCATGTGGAATAGGAGGATGTGGGGCGCGTACAGAGGTTGCCTGCGAGTGCGAAGCAAGGGCAGGTCTGTGAGGCCGATCATGTCTGTCCGAGTGAGTAACTCCAAGGTGGATTTGATAACATCCGTCTCTTGGCATCGAGTCAACCACGTTAGAGATGATAGGTTGATCTCGGGACGCGTGCATTGCTCAAAGACAGCAACCAGTAGCTCCATGTCTCGATCAAGATCGAGATCAAGCCGTGTGCGGGCAGAGTCGAAGGTGAGACGGAGAGCATCGATCACCAGCGGAAGCGTTGCGTCCAGCAAGCCAGAAACGGCAAGGCGTCTGCTAGCATTGAGAACTTTAGGCCGCCTGGCAATGTTCCGGCACTGGCGAACACAGAAGTAGATGACCTGGAGCAGGATCTGATGGAAGGGCACGGATAACTGTCCCAGGAACGACTGAGAAGGAGGTTGTGCCTCATTCAACAGAACTTTGTGCATGTTGTCGACGAGGGTCATGAAAGAGGTGATTTGCTTGTCGGCATCCGAATCAGAAAACCAGACCACTTCAAGTATCGATAACAATAAGTTGAGTCGTGTGCCATGAAGTTTTGCCATCATGTCTCCCGACCTTTTCTCCAAAGCCAGGTCTCCAGATATCGTAGCGGAGAGTGACAGGAGGTTTGAACGGATCTCCGGCACTGGCCGCACAAATGGCAATACTTGGTGCAAAAGGAACTGCCACGACTCCGTCAAAGCGGTTTGAGCGTAGGTGAGGGAAAGATTGAGATTCAAAGACGCGACTCTCCTTTCCACTTCTTCCAC